CCACCAGTGCTGGGCTTACAGGGACATCTAGGAAAGCCTGGCTTTTCCATAGATTCTAGAGATTAGAATGCTTTTCACAGCAATCTCTTCTCATCGACAAAGTCATCTCCGCAGACCTCGTCCCCCTTTTCTCTGAGAGCTTGGCCCCTAAGCCACGGTCTCCCTAGCAATCTAATAAACCAAAAAGGCAGCGGAGCCCAAAGGAGGGGTATCTTACAGTGCTAGTTTCCAGCTTCTTGCTGATGACCGAAGTAGAAACTACAGTGCCAGTCAACTCACAGAGCATCCAGCGGGGAGTATTTCGGGAACACATGGAGAGGCACTAAACACCGGAATGGACACACGGTACAGAGTGGGAACCTCAGCAGCCAGTGAAGAAATCAGCAAGCTGGTTATTTCTAGTCTAGGACTATATACGGTGCTGCATGCTACACAGCCTAGGGGGCCCACGCCTGGCCAACAGGGGTGAGGGGAATCCCCCTGCACTGACTGCCACTATGTATCTCCTTCTAGAAGTGGCAGCATCAACAAAAAACACAGAGGACTTTGGGTAATCACAGCTGGCTGTTCCCAAAGGACACTATTACCTTGCTCAGAGTCTTCGCTAAGGGACAGTCTGAGCCTGCATGGACACTACTTAACTTGAAGGACATTTGGGACTCTGGGCCAGAAGTCAACATATTTTAAAGTTACATTCTTTCTTGTGTATGTGATGTGCATGTGTGTGTGTACACTCACCCACATGTATGTGCGGAGGTCAGAGGTGAACGACCAATGTCTTCCCATTAATCTCATAGGCTGTACTGATTGGCCAGATCAGCTACCCATCAAGGCCCTGGAATCCGTCTCCACCCCCAAGGGCTGGGGTTAAAGGTTGATGCTGTTGCACTTGGCTTTTGCATGTGTATTGGTGATTGAAACTCGGGTGCTCTCGCTTGTCCTACAAGCACTTTACCCACCCCCTGAGCCATCTCCCAAGGCCCGAAGTCGCATTGTCTGACCTCACCATCTAGCCTAGCCTACCATGGGGCCTGGAAAGCCTATGTCCCTCCCTGACTGATAAGTTCCCCTTAGAGCCAACGGCCTGATAGGAAGTAGGCAGTGTATGGGAAATCAAGTCGAAGTCACTCTTCTGCCCATGGGCCAAGCTGTGCTGAGTCCAGCTGCCCTGGCTGGGGGAGGTGGTGATACTGTATAACACACAAGGCCAGCAAATGACCCCTTTTGTCTACTTTGCAAAGCCTTCTTGAGAGGGTTCTCAGAAGCAAGGCCCGAACGCCTGAGTTCTCATAAATCTTTTAATAACAGCAAATGAAGAAAACATTGTAACAATAAGTCCCATGGGGAGGGTTCCTTTTCATTCAGGGATGTCAACAGCAGGAACACCTGAGGCTAAGATTCAAAAACGCTAAGTACACAAATTAAGGACCATTTCTTTCCAAAGGTGGCTGCAGAAACCACTTCAGTACAATCAAAGGGGTTGTACAAAACAGAGAAAACACATTACAAAAACACCCAAAGAGGGGAGGTAGACTGGAGTGGGGGAGTAAAGAGCGCCCCAGGAGCAGCCTCACAAAGAGGCTCGATGCCATCTAGGGAGTTCAGAGACTGGCTCTCAAGGGAGCCTTGCACATGAGGGTGACAGTACATGGCAGTCCCAGCTGGAGAAGAAGGATGGAGGAAGAGGCGCTCACCAGTGTCCCAGAAGAAATAATTGGACACCATCCAATCCTGTTCTCTTCACTACAATTGCATCAAATAAATGAAGAATGCTTTAAAATCAAATATAATATTGACACCAAAATAAATCAAAAGTTTCCAAAACATCATTTCTGCTTAAAATGACTTTTGTTTCTGATCTGTTTATCACTGAGTGGGGGTGGGGGGGTCTGTTCAACGCCACAAGTAGCAAATCAGTGTACACAAGTGTCTACTGTACACTGTGTATTTGTAGACGAGGGCGACAGCAAGTACCTTGTGGTCTTTCTGCAGTTGTATATACCAGCGGAAGACTGGCTCTTCTCGTGGACTCAGAGAGGGCAAGGCCGGAGGTGGGGGGAGGCACAGGACATGGCTTCCCAGTCCTGGGCCTTCCCAAGTTGCCTGGGAGGCCTGGTCCTGGCTCACTAAAACCAGTAGCAGGGTCATGTCCTACAGTGTCGGAAGATCCCCTTTTCCTCCCCGCAAGCCTCCCTTACAGTAGAAACCATTCAGAAACTTCTCTCCCAAAGAAAATGGGTGACAGAATTCCAGGCAAGTATATTTGGCAGCAGGAGAGTTAAAAAGGGCCCTTGTTATCTCCTGAACACCAAGCTCAACACAACTCAAAACATTCCTTAACCCCAGTTCTTCTGCGTAGTGCCCTGCTAACACTGAGTTATCTGGGAGAAGCTTGTAATTACGTCACAAAACACTGACTCTTCCATGACCACATACAGCAAAGCCCTAGCAGAGGCTATAGCAAAAGCAATGGTCTGACAGGTACTCGGAAGAACCACAGAATAAAGTGCACAGCAGACCCCACATAGCCCACTTAGACCCTGGAAGTCCACAGGTACAAAGAAGTCCACAGGAAGACAGAAGACAGACTTGGAGAGGTGCGGGTGGTGGCTCCCAATCCCCACAGTGTACCACAGGAGGACAGAAGTGCTTGCTGCTAGGCTTCTGGGAGGATGTTGGGCCAAGTCTTAGATATACAAAACCAAATACTGGGGGCAGGAAGAAGCTTTAAGTGGGAAAGACAACCTCTGTTACTTAGAGTGGCTGCCACAAATTTTCCGGCTTAGCCAATTGTTCTTGTTGGCACAGCCCCTTGACCATGGATGCTGAGGGCTTGAGGATGCACTAGGCCCTCTTGCTGGGACAATCTCAAAGAAATAGGCCACCTCTATGAAAACTCTCACACAGGCATTACAGTATGGTAGGCGACATACAGAACTCTGGCCAAGGTAACTATGGAACAGCCTTCAGAGGGACAAGAAAGGCCTGAGGAGGAGCTGTAGATTCAGTCCCAGCTGTCTTCTCCTTTGTCTCTGGTAACAGTCTCTACTGTCAGGAAGGCTGTGGGATATACCTGGGGGCAACTTCCACAACACAGAGCTTAGAGCCTCGGTAGGTTACCTCTTTTCCTGTGGGTCTGGACCAAAGTAAGAGTGAGAAGCAATGAAGAGGGTCACCTGTTCCCCAACACCTCAAACCTAAGCCAATACTCCCTGTGGAATCGGTTGAAAGAGCCACAAACTGTTTCTTTTAATTTCTTTACCTATGAGCCAACCTAGGGCCCTGCATCTCCACTTTATTTCCTCCTTCTTGACAGGTGTGTCTGACTCAGTCCTGGCCGAGCCAGGCAGCATGGCTTTGAATTTCTTCTCTCCCTCTGAGCGCCAGAAAATGCCTACCAGAAATGGGTCTGTTGAGCTGCTGCCAAAGCAGAGGCAAGCTACTGGAGGCATGCCAATGCAAGGAAAGCCCAAGATGCCTGGCAATCTGGGCCATGGTGCCTCAGACGGGGAAGAAGCGTGTACGGCACTCCCACCTCTGTGGCGTTCTGGAGTTGGCTCCCTCAGCTGAGGCCCTACATCACCACAGACAGCAGCTATATGTGGCAAGGGCCATGGTAGGCCTCATGTGTAGCAACATTTCATTTGTATTTTAATAAATAAAGCGTCCCTGAAGATCAGAGAGTAAAAGAGCTCCACTGCTCAGCCTTACAGACCAGGCAGTGGTAAGCCACACCTTTAATCCCAGTACTAGAGAGGAACACAAGACAGGAGGAAGCAGCTCTCAGACACAGTCTCATTCTGAGATTCCTGGACTGAGGTAGGGGCCAGTGGTTGGCTGCTTTGCTTTTCTGATCCTCAGGTTGAACCCCAATTTCTGTCTCTGAGTTTTTATTTATTGAGCTTCATTCATGACCTATTTCCATGCTCTTCTATAGGCCAGGGCCAGAGAGGCTGTCACACATTCCATTCACCCAAGACTTCTCTGACGGGGTGGGGAAATCAGCAACAGAAGAAGTACTTCCAGGGACCAGCAAGAGGGCGAGAGGAGGAAGAGGCATGGCAGGAGCACACGGGGAGCAAGCGCACTACGAGTTCTCCTTTTCCTGCTCTCCGTACCTCAGAGCCAATCAACTCATGTTCAAGCAACCACTCCCCAGAGATGCTTCCCTTAGTTTCCATTTGCTCTGGGAGACTGTCCTGCCGCTGCTTCCCCAGCAGGCCCGTTTCTTAAAATCATGGCCACTGAGTCACTAAAGCTCAGGTTAGGCCTAACACCCACAAACTCACGTTAAATACTGCAACCGGAACAGGGAAATGGGGTGGTTATGACACAAACTTCTTTCTCTATTCTTAAACAAATCTCCTCCTACTAGAAGCTGACAAGGAGTCAGCAATGTCCAGACACTGGTGCCCTTTGTGGTCCATACATGACTAAGTACTTTTCTTTCAACCGAAGTTCCTTCCTTCAGAACACTTGAACTGCTACCTATGGGGACCTGGTTCCCTTTCAGCCTACACATGGGCTTTGGACATCATCAAGCTGCCAAACCAGGGATATTTCCCCACACTGAACACTTAGGCATGTCTAGCTACATGAAAGAAATCAAGCGTAAAGAAAGTGCCTTGGGGAGCTGTGGACATGTCCTCAAAGTGCCAGGAATGGCTCTAGAGTACCTTCCCGAAATGCAAGGGTTCCCCCATTTCAAACATCCAAAATACAAAACAGCCAAACAGCACCCAAGCCCCTCCCCCAGCTCCCTCTTCCATGAAGCAGCCTCAGACAAAGAGAAACAGAGACATGTACAGAGACAATGAGGATGGTTGGGGGCAGCTGAGACTAGAGTGTTGCCTAATTATCCACATGACACAGACTAGGCTTCAGATCACGGCTTTCTCAAGTTGCCACTCGACTTAGTTGGCTTCTTAATTTTTATGCTCACTTTGGATTGGAGTGTAGATCGCCTCTCAGATTTCATAGGGAAGGTTTTTTTGGGGGGGACGGGAGCCGGGGGGTGTCCTGTCGGGTACTGTGCACACCTTCACCCTCTTGACTTCAGACTCACTGTGGCAACAGACCTCTAGCAGCCCTCTGTGGAATCTTGCCCTCGGTCTGCACACTGCTGTCACCTCCCAACCCAGGCAGCACCCTAGAAGGAGTGGCTAGGTGGCTCCCTGCTTTACATCATGGGACACCCGGCACTGGAAGAATCTATTTTGGCTGTGATCTGGGAAGTCCCTTGGCTCTGGACTTGCAGCTGGTATAGAAACAAGGCCTTGGTCCCCTTCTGGTGGGGGCTATGCTGGAGGTAAAAGGGGACCCCAGCATGAGCCTGGAGGTCCCTGGCAGTGGAGAAGTGAACCGAACACTGTTTCATTGCTGGGGCGCTGGGGGAACTACCGCTTGCTGCTCCCTGCTTCTTCAACTAGCTGTTGTTAAAAGCACCAACAAACAGTGTGAAGGGCACTGACTACCGTTTCCCTGGGTAAGGCCAAGCACAGGGACCGGGACACACAGTAGGGACCCAGAGGCCAGGGGATGAAAGGAAGTAAGTTCCAGGCCCCAGCACTATCCCAGGCACAAAGAGCCATTCATGGGGAGGAGCTGAGGAGGGAAGAGTCGTGGAAGAAAGGGACAGAGAGGAGGAAAAAAAGAAATGCACCAAGCATCCTATCGCCCTCGCCAATGAGTCTGTCAAGAACTGGGTCTTCTCTGAGTCAAGTCAGGACTTGATTCCTCAGGGAGAAACAAAACAAAACAAAACAAAAACAAAAAACAAACAAAATAAAACAAAACAAAAACCCAAGCACCTTCAGTCTATTTTCTTGGCTGGAAGCCGGAGCAAATCCAGCAGATATTTACACAAGGGCCCAGCCATGTATGAGAACAGGATGACCAGCTTCCCGTGGGTCATGGTCATGAGAGTCTGGTGTCCCGAGGCCCAGATGCGATACCAGGGGCCGTAGAATGGGTCTGAGATGGCCGGACACAGCATGTTGTTCAAATTCACTTCGGTGACCTGCAGGGACAAGGGAGGTAGAGTGAGCGTTCGCCATCCCGAGGCTTCCTCTGGCTACCGCCAGCTCAGCCATCTCTCCTCCCTAGGGACAACTGGACAAGGAGGGATTGACCAATCCCCGCCTGTTCATAAAGGGGCTACTTTGCCCTAGGCTTTCTTAGTGGGTGATATAGCACTGTCCTGGGCGAAAGCTGTTCAGTTTTGCTCAGTCCTGCCCTCCAGGTGGGCCCAGAGTCCATTGTCATTCCTAAGCATGTATCGTGTGCCTAGCTCCTGGAGAAAGGTTGCATTATTTTTTTAGAGCCATTAGCTTCATGGTCCCTGTCTCCAAGTAGCAAGGGCAATCAGCTGACTGCATGTGCTCTCCAACTAGATGGTGCCCACTAAGCTTTACATGCCACGAGGAGGTGTGAGGAGCATTCGGAAGATTGTGTGAGGGAGTGGCACGTGAATGGACTCATGAAAGATGGACAAGGGTTATGGCGAGGAGTGGGTGAGGAGAGCTTTGCTGGAGGAAGGTGTAGCAGAACATGGTAATGTATGGTGACGTGAGCAACACCAACACCCCTGGAAACCGCAACTAGGTGGGGAGCAGCAGGACGTAAGGAGGGGGTGTGTGCGGCTCAGAAGCATGCTGAACCTTCCTATACAAGCACAGGCAGCATTCACACTACTGGCAAAGAACCCAGCCTACCTCTGGCAAACCAGAGCAAGGAAGACAAAGAAGGGGCTTGCACAGAGGCACTGGGGACATCCAGTTACATGACCTTATCATGCAAGGCCGCACACGGCTCCACATGACTAACCCTGCATGCCAACCACGCAAAACCAAATATGGCATTCCTGCCCCAAGGACAGCCACAACACCCGCCTTCCGGAGCTCTTAAGAGCTTGCTCACGGTTAAAGACAAGTCCTTCCCATCTCTCAATTTGTATCTCGTTACAGGGAGGAAGAAAACTCCCTGTCCCCACACCCAGGCATGAGCTCTCTCTCCTCACTTCAGCACTTGATACATACCCTTGCATTTTCGGCGCTATTGGACTCTGGATATTTCAACATTGAGGCTAGCCAGTTTCCATATTCCAGGCACTTCTCAGACTACAGAAAGCTCTGGGCTCCCAACCTCTCACTTCCACTGGCCACACTGCTGAAGGAAGGGTCTCCTGAAAGACCTGCGAGCATCTCCAGAGTGGACCCAAGATCAAAGGCCATCACAAGGCCCAGGGCCATCAGGATAAGGATCGTACATGCCCAAGAGGCCCACAGAAAAGCACTTGCCAATTACAGGTCACTGTTTCAGACCCAAGGAGCCATGAATGAAGGGTACCATTGCATCCCCAGGAATGAAGGAACAACCATTACTGAAGGATTCAGAAAACTCTCTGGAGAAGCCAAAGCTCTGTATCATAAATCAGCACCCCAGACACAACAATCTGACATCCTGGCCTTTAGCATTGTGTATTTTTCAAAGCAAAATGATACCACAGCACCAACCAGGATTATCAAGATTTATGAAGAACTCCAAACAGAGGGGAGAGAAGGGGAGCTAAGCAAACTTACCAGGCCGAGGATCTGCAGGATGCTGAAGTGGTAAAAGAACATGAGGCCCGTGGAGAGAAGGGCCCACCGGAAACTGCTGAGGGGCTCTGGGGTGTAAGCACCTGGAGGAAGACGGGAGATGGTGAGCCAGGAGGAACAGCCGCTTCTCTGGTTGCACAGGTGCAGGTGCTGAGGTCACAGCCACAGCTGCAGCAGGCGTGGTGTCTCTTGCACTTGTCAATGACAGCATCTTCCAAGGGCCTCGGCGCTTAGCTAGGAACCATGGTGGCCCTTTCTTAACCCTGCTTTCTGCCCATTGATATCATAGCATTAGAAAGAATGGTTAATTCATGAGTATTGAAAGTGGTTTTGAATTGTTTAAAAAACCAGAAAAGAAGATAGAAGCCAAGGAGGGACTCAATCCCAGCACTTGGCTCCTAGAATAGAAGCCGCACAAATATACCATCCCCTTGGTCATTCTCTTCATGCCCCGGGATGCATTTTTAAAATTAATTCTAAAATTAGTACTATATATGCAACTGTCTTTGTGTCTGCATTTATTTCCTCATGGTTCTAAATAGTATGATGTAGCAGTTGAAAACGTTATTGTTGAGGTCAGATAGATTTGGGTTCAATTTTTTGGCTTGGTTGGTTTTGATCTTTTGAGACAGGGTTTCCCTGGCTGTCCTGGAGCTCACTCTGTAGACCAGGCTGGCCTCGAACTCAAAGATCCACCTGCCTCTGCCTCTCCAGTGCTGGATTAAAGGCGTGCACCACCATCTTGGCCTGGTGAATTTGGGTTCAAATTCTGACTCTACCATTCATTAGCTGTTTGGCTCTGACAAAACTTGCAACAATTTTGCAAATCTTACTTGCCCATCAACACGGGATAGTTGTGTTCCCAAAGTCTGGTGTAACATGACTGCTCAATGGGGATCGGTGTTCTCTTACTGTCACTGTTAAATCTAGAGCCCTCGTGAATGTTTTATCTAGTGGTTGTGCTGTTTCTCAACTACTGAATAACTCCGTCCCAAGAACACCGAGTGATGTCTTGCCTCTCCTGTTGCTGCTGTGAACTCCCTTCTTTGTAGGCCTGGATGTATTTTAGAGCTTACAAAGCATGGACATGGTAGACAGGAGACTGGGAGGGTCTCTCTGTTTGGACACTTGGCAGGGGTGATTCAGAAAGGGACATGAAAAACACCTTCCCATCCCCCCAAAGTACAGTACTGTTTGCCCTGGTCAGCTTTTCATTGATTCTGCCTTTTGCCCAACAGTTGTTCGTACCTTGTAGCTTTTGGAATAAGACAAGGTCCCTACAGTTTGAGAAATACAGGCAACAAAGACAATACAGCAAGCTGGGGGTGGGGTGACAGAGAGCCGTACTTCCTGGTACTTTCTCTTATGGGAAGACAAAACTCAGCCTGGGAGTGGGGGTGGAGGTGGGGTAAGGAAGGTTTCTTGGATAGAGGCAGCATTGGAGTAGAGTCCTGAGAAATGGATGGGACTTCAGGAGGGTGCTAGGCCTTCCAACCTGCACACAGACAGACATAAGGCAGGCAGTTCAGTGGCAGCCGTGGGGGTTGGGGGAGTGAAGACTCAACAGGAAAACCTGGGCATTGTTCAAGCCTGATGACCTGAGCCTGGGACCCAAGTAGAAATGCCAGAAGTGATGGGGCATGTCTGTAATGCCAACACTCCTATGGTGAGATGGGAAGAAGGCACAGAATGATCCCCCAGAAGGTAGTGGTCCAGGTGACCCAGACAACACAGCCCAGCATAAACAAGAGACATCCTGCCTCAAAACAAGGTGGAACAAGAGAATCAGTTTCCAGAAGTTGCCCTCTAATGCCACATGCATGTTGTGGCACATGCAGGCCACACTCACACATATACATATCTCTCTCACATGCACACACAACTCCCTCGCACACACACACATAATGATAATCGCTGTAACAATAATAATGAAATAGTTTAGTAAAGTCACAGGGCGAGTTTAATGGAGGTAGTGAGGAAGCAGTTAGCAAAGCTGGTCTGCCCCAGGCTGAGCCATGTGAGCCTCAAGGCCCCCCCCCCCCCCCCCCCCCCGGGCGGAGTGGGGGGAGGGCTTTGGGTGTCATGTGTGCAACAAAACTGCAAGGCCAAATGTGCCTTGTCTCACAGAGATTCTAGGACGCAGAAGCAGGACTAGGACCAAGGAATATGGTAAACAGACCATGCCCTTTCTAAAGAGCTCAGCTACCACTTAACTCCACCATCCACTACCTTGCTAGACCATGGCTCAAGAGGTGCCTGCTTCTTGCTTTTTCAAAGGAAAGCCAGAAACATGAAACTTTATGTGGAATGTCCTGATTTTTAAATGCAGGCAACTATTTAAAATGCTTTAGAATGTTCAATGGGCCAAGCAAAACATGTATTCCAGATGGATTTCAGTCCCTGGGATTTCTATGTGCTCAGCTACAGAGCCACCAAAAGAACGTGAGTGCTGGTCATTCAGATTAGGGTACAAGGGTCAGAGTAAAGGCAGCGGTACTGCCAAGGGGACTCTCCAGGAGCCCAGAGCAAGGTAGTTTCTGGAGGTAAAAAACGGCAAGGTAGAAAATGAAGAGAGAAGTGAAAATCAGAAGGATGTGGTACAAGGCAGGAGCGTGGGGTTGAGGGAGAGGAAGGACAGGCGGGACTCTCAGAGTTGTACTAATAGCTTGGCCACCACTGGATTGATGATGCCATTTATTGCGATTGAAGTAAGGGTAAGGAAATGATGAAGTCCATTTTAGACATGTTGAAAACGGAGTATCTGTGTCTATGAAATGTCCACACGCAAACATTCCTGCAGGGACTGCATACACTCTAAGGCATGAAGGGTGACACTGGATGCTAGAGCCTAGAAGGGGGAACTATTCAAACCCTGCTTCTATCAATTATGGATTTCAGAGCTTTGGTCAAATCGCAGTATCTCCTCAACTCAGTTTTACTCATCCGTATAATGGAACAGGCACCGCCTCATGCACAGAGCTGTTGGTCAGAGGAGATGACACAGTTATCTCATGGTCCCAGGGATTTAACAAGTGCTTGTTATTTTTATGACATGAGCCACAGACTCCACGAAGAGGATAAGGTGAGCATACAAGGATGGGTGACATCAGCACAGAGGAGAAAACAAAGTCATGGAAACATTTGTACACAGTGAGAGAAAAATGAGACTGAAAGCCAAGATTCCATGGAACAAGTGCAAGATCAGGGAGTAGGCAGGAGGAACAAAGTGGGGTGACTGAAGTCGGGGGCTAGCCTGTGAAGCGCATCCTGGACATGTTGATGTGTCTGTGCTTTAGGATCATGTGCAGGGCTATATTTATAGCTATCTTGAGCCACATACAGCCCGTGTGTTGGACACACCTTTGTCCCAATGTTCCACCAAATCAAGAACCTTGTATGTCTCCCCAACTGCCCCCTCAGCGCTTGGTTGGTAACAAAACGTTGAGCAATATACTGAGAGCATGGACACTGGTCAGTCTAATAAATGAGTGTGGCCTGGGCACCACATTGTTGCCTCAGTTTCCAAGGGCACAAGAAGGAAGTAGAGACCTGGAAGGCTGACAGGTGCCCAGGAAGTCATGCACTCTCCTATTCTTTTCTTCCCTCTGACTTCTGCTCAACAGCCCCTACCCCAATGCAGCTGAGCAGCAGTGACATGCCTCAGATGCCAAGTGTGGTACAGGAATGGACTTGAACACGTGTGTGTCCTCAACCAGGGGTCAGTTCAGCAACCACAGTCCTAGGGAAGAAGGGGACGAAGATTCACGCCCAGGACAGATGTCCCTTCCCTGTGCTTCTCCCGTGTTGTGCGGTGTGTTCTAGGGGAAAGGAACACTGAGATACTATCAGGGGACATGGTTTTCAGTGTACTCACTGACCCTTTGCAAAGCCCCATCCCTGTCTGTTGCATCAGCTGCCTCAACCAGACTGCCTGTTGACAGAGGGAGAAGCTCTCCCTCAAGCTCTGCTTTTACCTCAGTCCTGGATGAACGGTGGCTACTCAAAGGCTCACTGCATGGCCGAAGTTGTAGCAGAGACTTGTGAGGGATCATAAATGGGAGTTTAAGTCAATGCTAGAGCACTGGGAAGATGATCTTCAAACACCTATAGAGCTCCCAAACCACCCTTATCTGCACCAAGATATTTAGGCTTGTTTTCTCTATAATATTGAGAAACTATAAACAAACCAACTAGGGAGATAGGTTAAGTAAACTACAATACCTCAATATTGTGTAAGAGTCTACTGCCATTCAAATGGCGACTGGATTGTCCATGCATGAAGAAACCAGTCCCGAATGAGCAACACCAAGTATAAAAGGCAGAACATCAAACAGTACAGACATAAAAGAAAATACAATGTAGTAGCTTAAAAACAAAGGCCTGGGGGGGGGGAGGTCAGACAGCCCCATGTTCCCTGTGGGAGTGACCCTGAGCAAATCACACTTCCTCTAAAGTTGTTTTCCTGTGTAGGAACTAGAGGCAGCGTCCACTGCTCAGGGCGGAGGAGTGGCAGAAGGCATTACAGAAAGCAGATCCAGCAGCTGCCTAGCAAGGAGCTATTTTCACCCCAGGGATCGCAGGCGTCCAAACTCATAGACAGGCAGGAAGAGGAGGGGCATTCTGGGGAAATGGCCACCTCCCCTGTGGAGGGAGACTGACTGCCTGTGGCAAACAGGATCCAATGTTCCATTTCCTTCCAAAACCACAGTCGAAAAGTACCCTATGCACTGCTAACATGGCCCATAGGAATACATGCAAATTGTATGCAAACCCACATAATACTTTGTTGGATACCTGGATGTGGCCCTTGAGATAATCCTAGTGAAAAACCAGTTTTCTTCAAAAGAAAAACAGAAACTGAATCACATTCAGGAAAATTCAACACATCATAAAATGCTTTTTTTTTTCCTCTTTAAGAAAGTATGTGACATTTTTCTGCTAGCATTTTCTATCCCAGGAGGATAGAAGCGCGTCATCAGTAAAGGTAGGGGGAAACCAAGATGATAGTTTCTGGAAAATTGATTTCTGCCAGAAGGAAGCCGTAGGAGTACTGGGAACCAAGGCACTTGCTCCAGCAGTAGCA